ACCCAAACCCAAACCCAAACCCAAACCCAAACCCAAACCCAAACCCAAACCCAAACCCAAACCCAAACCCAAACCCAAACCCAAACCCAAACCCAAACCCAAACCCAAACCCAAACCCAAACCCAAACCCAAACCCAAACCCAAACCCAAACCCAAACCCAAACCCAAACCCAAACCCAAACCCAAACCCAAACCCAAACCCAAACCCAAACCCAAACCCAAACCCAAACCCAAACCCAAACCCAAACCCAAACCCAAACCCAAACCCAAACCCAAACCCAAACCCAAACCCAAACCCAAACCCAAACCCAAACCCAAACCCAAACCCAAACCCAAACCCAAACCCAAACCCAAACCCAAACCCAAACCCAAACCCAAACCCAAACCAAAACCCCAACCAAACCCAAACCCAAACCCAAACCCAAACCCAAACCCTGATATCAACTATACCAATCTTTATGAAATTGATACAGTACCTTACTAATGGTGAATGAACACCACTGTATCAGTTTCATGACAATTTGAAATCATTCAACATGTCAGGAGTGTAATCATGGGAATAATGAATATCAAGATAATCAAATCATATTAATTTTAAAATCTTTCAATTATAGCATCATATATAGATCAATTAATCATGGTATTTCAATAATTGGTATTGAATTTCATATCAATTCATTCAAACCTTAATGACCTATCCTTAGATGACCAACTCAATTTTAAACTATCATGAATCATATAACTATTGATACCATTGTGTTCACAATTGAAAATCTAGTCGATTGATATTAGTTTCATCAATTGGTAATATATATATGGTCAATTAGGGAATCTCAAAGTCAATTTTGAAAAACTAAGAGTAGCTATATATAATATCTAATAAATCATATTTAAATATCAAAACTGATATCAAAATGCTTCAAATTACATGTACAACATGATAGAATTGAAATAAATATAATATCTCATATTAAATATTGAGATAGTCAATTAAGGTACCTCAATAAGGAAGTACCCTAAGGACAATGAGATTCATTACCAAATTGATACAGTATGTTATTAACATCATATAATGAGGTTCCTATCAATTTCATATCATTTGGACATCATTCAGTATTCATGTCATTTAACCATGTAGGTAACTACTCATGACAATATGACAAGTCAATATCAAGATGTACAACAAGATAGAATATAATACAAATACTCTTATATATAATATTGGTAACGTTTCTGAGTGGTAGAAATTAATATCTATATAATTGGAATATCTGTCAAGCTACTGTCCCAATTGATCAAAGGTAACATTCTTACATGTCAATAATGGTAAGAATCAACACTAATTCATTACTACCATATTATAATCATCATATACTCTCATATTATCGATTTTGGAATGATTTCAATATCATCTTAGATAGTTGTCATATGACAAAGTTATTACCTTAGTGAACTACCCATGTCATTAAGAAATGTCAAAATTGAAATATTTCAATTATATATTCATATACACATCCAATAGAGTCTATAATATCAGTTTCATAACATATAATCAATAATTGGTATTATGGCAATAATTCTATTGAGATTAGACATTGCAACATTTCCCAAATTGGAAATATAGAATATAAAATCATGAAACCAATTATATGTCGATAAAATGCATAGATAAACGATATTATCAAATAAAATATATGGGTCCCTATTGAAAATGTTTACCTGGTAAAAAGTGAGCGTAATTTCCCCAATTTTCATCCTAATTGGTTATCTCCCTATATATATGATAGATTTCAATTATTTTAATTTCATATCATAATACATGATAATTAGACATGTATCAATGAGTGGAATTAAGTCATGTATGATATTCATCCTTCAGTTACCAGTATTGTC